GAAGAATATCATGTTTATAGTGGATTACACATGCATGAAGTTTATACCATGCCCAAGCAAACACAGTAGTGACAGTCCAAACGAGATTGCTACAGTAGTTTTCCTTGATTTATGGATTGTGTGTAGTGTGTGTGTAGCAATGAAAACAGGACTCAAAGCCACAAAAATACTGGCAGGAACATTTTGAAACAGTCAAATAATTTTCGAGCAGTGCAGGACTTGTATCTGTGCTCCTTCGGTTACCTAGCCAACCATGACTGATTTCAAGAAGAGAGCACAGTGATAACTCTCATGTGGACAGTGGAACCAACATGGCTGACATAATGTGACCCAGAATATGCAGGGGTTGAGTGGAGTTGGAACCAACATGGCTGATATCATCTGACCCATACCCATATATGCAGGGGTCGAGTGGAGTTGGAACAAACATGGCTGATATCATGTGACCCATACCCATGTATGCAGGGGTCGAGTGGAGTTAGAACTAACATGGCTGACATCATGTGACCCATACCCATATATGCAGAGGTCGAGTGGAGTTAGAACCAACATGGCTGACATAATGTGACCCATACCCATATATGCAGAGGTCGAGTGGAGTTAGAACCAACATGGCTGACATCATGTGACCCATACCCATATATGCAGGGGTCGAGTGGAGGTTAGAACCAGCATGGCTGACATCATGTGACCCAGAATATGCAGGGGTCGAGTGGAGTTGGAACCAACATGGCGGACATTGTGTGACCCATACCCATATATGCAGGGGTCGAGTGGAATTGGAACAAACATGGCCACCCTGTATGGTCATGTTATAGATGTGCAACATCTCCATAGAGTAAAGGACCAGCATGCTGAGGAACTACATTAAAACCTGGTGTAAGCAACCTATGGTTTTAGCGACCACATGATTTTAACGACCGTTTTTCCATGCCTGGACGGTTGACGGTTCTACACAGAAACTGCACCGGCCTTGCACGACCTGCGCCCGACTTTTAGTGTACCAAGTACCATAATATGTCACTTGGTGCATTATCTGACCTGCATACAGCGACCAAAACTACTAGTAACCAAAGTGCTATCGTTGCTGATAGGCTTGACTGCAACATGGTTGAAGCGTGCTCAGAAGTGAGTACAAGCAGTCAACAGAAGTAACAAGTCATTAGTGACCGTGCAGGGTGCGCTGCGTGCACTTGAGTGAGGTGTGAAACTGATGGGTGCTCTGCCTGCACACAAGTGTTCTATGCTTCACACCTGTCAATATGAGTACATGGAAGTACATTGTCATGAACACAGTGTGTATACACGTTTCGATATGCCGCAAATGTATGGGATCTGCTTCTAAAGACCACCTGGCTAACGTTTTTCCTTGCACCGTGAGGTGGTCGCTTAAACCAGGTTTTACTGTCGGTGCATGACACTGAGCACGCTGCTGCCCAGTGGGTAGAGCCGTCTGACAAACAATGGAGGAATATGCCCATTGTGTATTGTTCAGGTATGGAGTGCATGAGTACTGCATATATGTACACTGGGGTAAGGCCTGCACTGTACAACACCCCACAAAGGCAACCATCCCCAAGTGGCTGTGTAGGGTGTTCAATGCTACAAACTATACGTCACCGCGCACTGCCGGGTTCAACAGTAAAGCCCTGAGCAGCTATACAGCTATACAGTGTTAGCCGAGACTGAGCGTATGCATCCTCACTTGGCTCAGGCTGAATGATCTCCAGTTGTATAGGGTAGTGGGTACTGATCTTCACTGCCTGTAAGAGACAAAGCAGCAAACACAGTAATCAGACACACAGTACTCACACCACTGCAGCTGTAACAAAGATCAAGATGCATGAAACACTGTTACGAATACACAGCAGGGTACACATTACATTTGCATGTTGTATTATTTACCCACGATTGCCGGTATACTAGGCAACATACGCATGTCCTTCCACTCCATCAGGGTATGTGTTTCTATACAGAATCACTTAGCCAGGTGAATCCTGTTTTCTTATCCAGCATTTTCACAGAAACTGATGCCATCACCAGGCACAGTGCACACTTGCTAGTACCGTTCAATCAAGCAGACTAAGGGAAGCTGTAGTATTTGCCAGCACATGAAGTGGCACTGTGATGTCGGCAAATTCTTCTATAATAAATTCTAGGCAAAGGCACTGAGCAGGGTCCACTCACTTCTTCCAGGGTGAGCTTGTAGAAGTCCTGATAGTGGTACACTTCCACGGATGATTCGGGAATTCGAAGAGACAATGCTGCGGAGGCTATGAACCTGTGGAACAGAAAACAATTTCAAAAAGCACAGAGAAGTAAGAGTTCTAACTCTACCCCCGTTGCAGGATCCCTCAACTCAATGTGCTGACTATACGGCCACACAAATAATTATAACAGTAGCAGCAAGGAGGTTGAAGCAGGTTTTCTTAAGTCTATCTCTCTCTTACTTCATAACCCACATACATCTTGACACGGTAGGAGCTGGGGTGTTACATTGTGTGCGGTGAAGTGCGAAGCAGAGAGCGAAGTAGAGAAGGTAGAGCAGGTGGCCGGATATGGCAAGTATTGGGATAAGGGAGGTGTGGATAAGAGAGGTTCCACTATTAATGCTCTGTCGGTTTGCTGAATACATTCTATCGCCCTGGCATTTTCCGTTGATTCAAGTGGCAAGCTCAGTTTGCTGAAATCCATCCGGGCAATGAGTTGGAGGCTGTGATGAAGTAAGCTAATTGAACACCAAGTGTCCCCTGGTCATGGTGCTCATTACCGCTAGCTTGCTCACCTGTCATCCGAGCATCCACCGGACAGTGAAGTATCCACCGTGCTAATAACATACCACCTGTACTGGGAGCTGGTACCAATGCTTATGGTGGACCTGCAGCAGTGTACACACCGATACACAGCATTGCATTGAGGCCTTTTGTTCCGGAGCAAAAACCACACTTTAAAACATTAGTAATTCGCTCAGAAAGTCAGCACGCCTTATACTACGATGGTCAAACGAGAGAGCTTGGAAGCTCAGGGCCCTACGCTATGCTTTTTTGCCTTGATGACCTAGACAAAAAAAAAAGCATAGGAATGTTATAAATTCTTTAAAAAAATCCTCTTTTTTAAAGACATAACCTGGGATTCGAACCCACACTATCGCGCGCCCTGCATGCATCCCCCGATACACTTCGCATACATACTAATTCTTCCAAGTTGTTTCACATTGTGATCTTGCATTTGAAAGCCCTATTTGAATATGCATTGTGGCCAGCCGTCTTTGATGGCACGGTACGGTAGGGGACAGGTACGATCGAGGGTAATACGACACCGTCTCCCGTACCGTACCGTACCATCAAACACAGCTGGCCACATACAGCTGCCCGCAATATTCAAATAGGGCTTTCAAACGCAAGATAATAACGTGAAGCAACTTGGAAGAATGGGTATGAATGCGAAGTGTATGGGGGAATGCATATAGGGCGATAGTGCGGGTTCGAATCCCAGGATATGCCTGAAAAAATAGGAGAATTGAAAAAATTATAACATCCTATGCTTTTTTTGCCGTCAGATACGGATAGCACCAGGCGTGACACAAACAAACAAACACACAAACACACAAATACCAAACGAGAGAGCTTGGAAGCTCAGGGCCCTACGCTATGCTTTTATGCTTTTTTGCCTAGCTCATCGTACATGTTATAAGAACTGAGAACTTTCCGACTTTCCAACTTTCCGAAATTTCCGACGTGACGCGCAATTTCACGTCAAATTTGAAATCGATCGGTATTTTTGCTCTCACATGCATCCATTGCTCAATCATGCATCATTTGCCGATATGACAAACTTTGGCCTGCGATTTACTTTGGCCGGTTGGTACTAAGCGGCGAAATCAGCGAAATTAAATCGCCAGCGAAAATTAGTTGATTTTAATACAGTAATCGGATTTTCTGGCCTTTTTGTAGTAATACATGTACATTGACCTGTTGTAGTGACTTTACTCCCTCGCACCCAGACGCTGATTTTTTGGAAACAAGTTTCTATACTTCCGATGGGAGAATCCGACATGGCAGTGCATTTCGGCGTGGCCAGGTCAAATTGTAGAATATCGCATCGAGTGAATTGCTTTATCTGAGAGAGGAGATGTTCGTGCCCTTGAGACCCGAAGTCCCGTTTCCATACGACAAAATTTAGGAGCTCTGCGCTCAGCGCTTTTTCAGGGTATGAATTTCGGGTTGTTCTGGTCGGGTCGCAGCGTCGCGGACTATTCCATCGTCTTCAGCGTCGAAAAACTACTGGTCATGTGAAATTACAAGGCGGTGAGACGCTTTCGTCTTCCTCTACGAGCGAATTTGTTCTGCGCCAGCATACCTAAGTATGCAATTTCGTACGCGCAGTTCGAGTGACGAGGCGTGTGCACTGTACACTGTACTGCATGCACGGACTGTGCGGTCGTTCTCGATTCTCCCATCACTCCCATTCATTTCTGTTTCCAGCAAAAGTCCAAGTTGGCGCACTTCAAATCACTATAACTCAAGAATGGCTGGGCCGATTCGAATAATACTTACAGATTTCCTATGTACTACGCCTGGGAGAATCGAATGAGACCAAAATCGAAGCGATCGGAGCAAGTTTTGGAAATTGGGTGTAGTCATTACCTGTTGAGCCAATGACGCCGCCGAATGCATGGTTGCCTGTGGAGCACATTACATAACTTAGCAGTCTCCTAAAATACGTATCCTGTCCGACGGCAA